TAAACAAAGAGAATATTATTTTAGTATAAAGGGAATTTAACAGTAAATACCCATCTGTCCTTTTTAGTTGTTATATTCTTCAATTTTATGTAAACTTAAATTTCTTTTTAAAAGAAATTTTTTTAATTGCATTTTATTTCTTACTCCAAATAAAAGTAAAATTTATGACATTATGATATTCAAAGTGTCAAAATTATTTGTGTAATTGTTCAAATATGTTTAATAATTTTTTGTGTTAATTGATTAAAAATATTGCTCAAATATTTTCATTACTATTATTTTTTGTATTTTAATTGATAAGATATTCTAATTTTATCAATATCATTGGTGTATAACATCAGTTAATTAAATTTGACATAAAAATCAAATTAGTACAACTAAATTGCACAGAATTTATTATTAAAATAGCTAGCTCAATTATAGGAAAATTAAATTAATATTGCCACTCAAAATGGGAATAAACTAACTCTTTTTTTTTCTTTTTTATTTCACGCAGACCCTACCTAAAAACACGTTTGAAATAGGAAAGAACAAAAAAGCATTGATGAGCGTTTATCTTTGATTCATTAAAAATAAAGAAGCAATATGTTACGTCTTCAAGTGTATTTCACTTATTATTAATAAAAGGACAAACCTTTTTTTTTTTTTTAACAATTATTATGATCCGGATTGAATTCGTTATCAGAAAAAAAGAAAAAAAGAAAAAAAGAACTTTTATAAGAGTGGCAAATACCACTTTACCTTATGAGTCAAATTTATAAAAAAAATAAACCATTGCTCATGGGAGGAAAAAATGCACTTAATGGCCTAAAAGCCTAAGTGCAACATTACGGTCTACTTAAGTTATAATTATGGCCATTATTACATTTTGTTAAAGTTAAAAAAATTATGAAATTTTTATTTTAATAAATGGTTTAAAACAACTTTTAAATAAGAGTAAAATAATTAATATTTATTATTTAATAAATTAAAATTAATTTATATATTATTATTTTTAAATATTATAATTAATTATTTAAAAAATATAAATTACTAAAATTATTTTTTTTAACCATGAAAAATTACGAGAGAAGGGAAATTTTTTAAATGTCAAATTTCCGACCAACTTGACTTAAACACATAAAATTTAAGAATAAATCTTCAAATTCAAAAGTCTGATTTAATAAAATTATATTTAAATTAATAAAGTTAACTAATTTAACAATAACAATAGCTTTAGGTTACTTACTGTGTACGCAAATTACAAAATAATATTCTGGTAAGAATATTTGTCTTTTTTAAAATCTAAAATGATATTTTTTTAGTGTAGTACAGCTTGAAAGAAACATT